ACATTTATGAGGTCCGAACTGACCAAGAGAGATATCTTGAAGTCATAGTAGATAACTCAGTGAAAATGTCGTGACAGTGTGCGACTGCAATAAAAAAGGTCAACGCTATGCTGGACATTATTAGGAAAGGAACTGAAAACAAATCAGTATCATAATGACCCTGTATAAATTGATGGCACAACCTCATTTCGAATACTGTGTACAGTTCTGGACACCACACCTCAGAAAAGATATTATAGCATTGGACAAAGTGCAGAAAAGGGCAACTAGAATGGTCAAAGGGTTGGAACACTTTCCCTATGAAGAAAGGTTAAAGCGCTTGGGGCTCTTTAGCTCGGAGAAATGACGACTGAGGGGTGACATGATCGAGGTTTACAAGATTATGCGTGGGATAGAGCAGGTCAAGAAAGAAGTCCTTTTCTCCCTTTCTCACAATACAAGAACTCGTGGGCACTCCATGAAATTGCTGAGCAGTCGGGTTAGAATGGATAAAAGGAAGTATACTTCTTCACCCAAAGAGTGTTTAACACATGGAATTCACTGCCACAAGAGGTGGTGGCAGCTACAAGCATGGATGGCTTCAATAGGGAATTGGATAAACATATGGAGCAGAAGTCCATCAGTGGCTATTAGAGCCCTGGAAGAAACGGCTTTTGTTCTTATGTCTGGGGCAAGGGATGCTCTGTATTCTTGGTGCGGGGGGGGGGGGCAACAGTGGGAAAGCTTCTAATGTCCTGGCCCCACTGCTGGACCTCCTGATGGCACCTGGTATCTTTGGCCACTGTGTGACACAGAGTGTTGGACTGGATGGGCCATTGGCCTGATCCAGCACTGGCTTCGCTTATGTTCTTTTGTTCTTATAAATAAATCGTTGTTGTTGTGCAGACTTTTAAGGAGAGCAATGCACATGGCTGTTACTCAGGGTTGGCATGTAAGAGAGAACGAGCCCCAGAGTGGGGGACTGCACAGTATACTCTCTGGGCTGTGCAAGAGACCCCCCTCCCTTAGGAAGCCTGGCGGCTCTGGTGGCAGGAAGGGAAATCGGAGAGGAAAGCCGACAGCTGGCTTCCTTCTCATGGCTGTTGACAATCCAGGAAACGTTTTAAGGGTGACAGATTGCAGCCGTGACCCGGATGGCCCAGGCAAGCCCGATCTTCTCGTCAGATCTGGGAAACGAAGCAGGGCCGACCCTGGGAAGTACTTGGAAGGGAGATCTCCAAGGAATACCAGGGCTGGGATCAATGTTCCCTCTAAGCTGTGGAGTCTTGTGAGCAAAAGTTGTACTTTGTGAGCGACTGCCATTAAAGTTGTGAGCATGTCGTTTGGCCGCTGCCTAAATCAGTTTGCTCTGGAGCCCTCTTTCCTGAGCTGAGAGAAAAATATGTGAGCCGGAGGCTAAAAAACTGTGAAATAGCTCACACCAACTCAGCTTAGAGGGAACACTGGCTGGGATGCAGAGGCAGGCAACAGTAACGCCACCTCTCTGAAACGTCCAAACCGCACTAGGGGTCGCCAGAAGTCAACGTGATTTCCAGGCACACAAGCGCACGTGCGCGCACACAGTACGCACCAAAGGGGGGGGGGCGCCAATAGATTGCCAGGGAGTCTCAGAGCAGCGTTATCCCCCACCATCCTGCCCTCTGGTCCAGATGCCCTCCCCAAACTGGAGTCCTACATCACGAGTCCCATTTTTACCCCCCTCACACGTCTGCTGCCAGCTCTGGCAAAGAGAACGGTCGCTTTTTTAATTGGAGAAGGGGTGTCCTCCAAGGCAGTCTCCTGATTGGCTAGGAAAGATGATCCCTTTTGTCCCAGGAGATCTGGACTTGTGTGCCCTAGGATCCCCTCCAATTGGGCACAGGGTGCTGCTGGGGTGCCAGATTTAAATCATCGGATTTGTTCACACTCCCCCATTAATTGTGTGTGTGTTTGTTAAGTGTTATGGAGCTGCGGTGGCTCAAGTGGTTAAGACGCTGAACTGCAGGCGGTGGAAGGTCGGTAGTTCAGCAGTTCGAGACCCGAGTGTGCCGCATGACGGAGTGAGCTCCCGTCTCTAGTTCCAGCTCCTGCCAACCTAGCAGTTCGAAAGCAAGAGATTGCAAGTAGGTAAATAGGTACCACTTCGGTGGGAAGGGAACAGCGTTCCGTGCGCCTTGGTGTTTAGTCATGCCGGCCACGTGACCACGGAAACGTCTTCGGACAGCACTGGCTCTTCGGCTTGGAAACGGAGATGAGCACTGCAACCCTAGAGTCGGACTCGACTGGCTTTCGAGCGAAGGAACCTTTACCTTGTTAAGTGTCCTCAAGTCACTTGCCGCTTATGATGACTCTATGAATTAATATCCTCCAAAATGCCCCATTGTTAGCAGCCATTCTTAGGTCTTGCAAACTGAGGGCCTTTGTGGCTTCCGTTGATTGAGTCCATCCTTCTCCTGTTGGGTCTTCTTCTTCTCCCGCTGCCTTCAGCTTTCCCCAGCATGATTGTCTTGTCGTCTCATAACGTGACCAAAGTACAATAGCCTCAGTTCAGTCATTTTCACTTCTAGAAGAAGAGGAGGAGGAGGAAGAGGAGGAGGAGGAGATTGGATTTATACCCCGCCCTTCACTCGGAGTCTCAGAGCGGCTTACAAACTCCTTTCCCTTCCCCTCCCCACAACAAACACCCTGTGAGGTAGGTGGGGCTGAGAGAGCTCTGAGAGAAACTGCTCTTTCATGGACACCTCTGACAGAACTATGGCTTGCCCAAGGTCATCCAGCAGCTGCGAATGGAGGAGTGGGGAATCAAACCCGGTTCTCCCAGATCAGAGTCCGCGCACTTTACTACTACACCAAACTGGCGTACACTGCACCAAAAGGAGACCCGATCCTTTGAACAGCAGAGGCCCAGGGTCAGCCTTCTGCATGTCAGGCAGATGCTCTGCCTCTAAGCAGAGCCCTTCCCCACCGAAGATCCGCATTGCCAACTCGGACTGGCAGCTGCTCCCCAGCATTTCAGACTGGAGGTCTTTCCCATCGCCTCCTCTGAACAGAAGAGGCCCAGGACTGACCTGCTGCTGCGTGCCAAGCAGATGCCCTTCCTCAGAGCCAGCCAGGGCCCTACCCCACCCAAGATCCGCATTGCCAACTCGGACTGGCAGCTGCTCCCCAGCATCTCGGACTGGAGGTCTTTCCCATCGGCTCCTCTGAACAGAAGTGGCCCAGGACTGACCTGCTGCTGCGTGCCAAGCAGATAGTCTTCCTCAGAGCCAGCCAGGGCCCTACCCCACCAAAGATCAGCATTGCCAACTCGGACTGACAGCTGCTCCCTGGGCCTCAGGCTGGAGGTCTTTCCCATTACCTCCTTTGAACAGAAGAGGCCCAGCCCAGGATCGACCTTCTGCATGCCAGGCAGACGCTCTCTACCTCTGACAAAAACTGGGGGGAAAGGGGGGGGGGGGGGGGCCCCAGGATATGACTATGAACCAAATAGGGCTAAGCTAAACCATATATATAAAAAAGTACAAATATTTATTAATAAATTTATTAGGGTGTACACATATTCAGAGCTGCGGTGGCTCAAGTGGTTAAGACGCTGAACTGCAGGCTGTGGAAGGTCAGTAGTTCAGCGGTTCAAGACCCGGGTGCCGCAAGACAGGGTGAGCTCCTGTCTCTAGTTCCAGCTCCTGCCAACCTAGCAGTTCGAAAGCAAGAAATTGCGAGTAGATAAATAGGGACCACTTCGGTGGGAAGGGAACAGCGTTCCGTGCGCCTTTGTGTTTAGTCATGCCGGCCACATGACCACGGAAACGTCTTCGGACAGCGCTGGCTCTTCGGCTTTGAAACGGAGATGAGCACCGCAACCCTAGAGTCGGATTCGACTGGCTTTTGAGCAAGGGAACCTTTACCTTTACCTTTTTACACATATTCAAATATATTCGGGTTAAAATTTTTTTCCCAGGTATCAGACTAATAACATATCAAATATTAATACACATGATGGGTCAAGACTTTCCAACTGAAGACCAAACACGTTTCGGCCTCAAAGGGCCTTCCTCAGTGGTCACATAGTATAGACACACATTCAAACATATGTATACAAGATCTTTAGAACACTTATATATTGACCAGATGTTGTATCCTTATATGTTTGTAATTTTGTTACTGGTATTAAAGATGGGCCATAGGTATAGCCATATCCAGTGTTCCGTCTAAGCTGAGTTAGTTCACAGGTTTTTAGCCTCCGGCTCACACATTTTTGTCTTAGCTCAGGAAAGATGGCTCCAGAGCAAACTAATTTATGCAGTAGCCAAATGGCTTTGTTCACACCTTTAATGCCAGAAGCTCACAAGGTAGAATTTTTGCTCACAAGACTCCACAGCTTAGAGGGAACATTGGCCATATCCATTCCAATTATTCTGGTAACTGAGATTTCGTCAGTCTGAATGTGTGTCACTCCATCAAGGTAAGAGGAAGCTCTACCTCTGAGCCGGCGCCCTTCCCCACCGAAGATCAGCAGCATCGCCCGCCCGGACTGGCAGCTGCTCCCCAGGGCCCCCGGCCCGGAGGCCTTTCCCGTCCCCTCCCCTGAGCAGAACAGGCCCAGGGTCGACTTGCTGCCGCTGCGAGCCAAGCAGATGCTGCCGCCAATGTTCCCTCTAAGCTGTGGAATCTCGTGAGCAAAAATTCTACTTTGTGAGCTCCTGGCATTCAAGTTGTGAGCGAGTGATTTGGCTACTGCATAAATTGGTTGGCTCTGGAGCCCTCCTTCCTGAGCGAAGACCAAAATGTGTGAGCCGGAGGCTCAAAAACTGTGAGCTGGCTCGCACTAACTCAGCTTAGAGCCTGCCGCCCTTCCCAGCGCCTGGGCATCGCCAGCTCGGGCGGGCAGCGGGCGCCACTTGAGCACCACCTCCGCGAGAGGCTCCACCTCCGCCCGCCCACCGCGCAGCCTGATCCGGCTCCGGGAGGCGTGGAAGGGACGGAGGAAGCTGGACCGCGCGGCCTCTCCGAGCGGGCGAGCCATGATGCGCTCCGCCGCCCTGCTGCTCCTGCTGCCGGCCCTGGGCGCGGCGCTGCGCCTGCCTCCGCCGCCCGCCTCCTCCTCCGCCGCCGCCAGCAGCAGCAGCAACGCCAGCCGGCCGGGT